CTGGAAATCCATATGCAACAAAATGAAACTGAATCCCTTTCTCTCGCCATGCACAAAAGTTAATTCAAAATGGATCAAGGAGCTTGATATCAAATCAGAGACGCGCCGTCTGATAGAAGAAAAAGTTGGCTACGATCTACAGTCTGTGGGGTTGGGCTCCAAATTCCTCAATAGGACACCCATAGCACAAAAGTTAATAACTAGAATCAACAAATGGGACTTACTCAAACTAAAAAGTTTTTTCTCAGCAAAAGAAACAATAAGAGAGGTAAATAGGGAGCCTACACCCTGGGAACAAATCTTTACTCCTCACACTTCAGATAGAGCCCTAATATCCAGAGTATACAAAGAACTCAAAAAATTAGACAATAAGAAAACAAACAACCCAATCAACAAATGGGCCAAGGACCTGAACAGACACTTCTCAGAGGAGGACATACAGTCAATCAACAAGTACATGAAAAAATGCTCAACATCTCTAGCTGTCAGAGAAATGCAAATCAAAACCACCCTAAGATACCATCTCACTCCAGTAAGATTGGCAGCCATTAGGAAGTCAAACAACAACAAGTGCTGGCGAGGATGTGGGGAAAAGGGTACACTTGTACATTGCTGGTGGGACTGCAGATTGGTGCAGCCAATTTGGAAAGCAGTATGGAGATTTCTTGGAAAGCTGGGAATGGAGCCACCATTTGACCCAGCTATTCCCCTTCTTGGTCTATTCCCTAAAGACCTAAAAAGAGCATGCTACAGGGACACTGCTACATCGATGTTCATAGCAGCACAGTTCACAATAGCAAGACTGTGGAACCAACCTAGATGCCCTTCAATAGACGAATGGATAAAAAAAAAATGTGGCATTTATACACAATGGAGTATTACTCTGCATCAAAAAAATGACAAAATCATAGAATTTACAGGGAAATGGATGGCATTAGAGCAGATTATGCTAAGTGAAGCTAGCCAATCCCTAAAAAACAAATGCCAAATGTCTTCTTTGATATAAGGAGAGTAACTAAGAACAGTGTAGGGACGAAGAGCAGGAGAAGAAGATTAACATTTAACAGGGATGAGAGGTGGGAGGGAAAGGGAGAGAGAAGGGAAATTGCATGGTAATGGAAGGAGACCCTCAGGGTTATACAGTGGAGGAGGTAGAGAGAGAGGAGGGGAGGGGAGGGGAGAGGTGGGGAGGGGGGAGGGTGGAGGATGGGGAAGGCAGCGGAGCACAACAGACACTAGTATGGCAATTTGTAAATCAATGGATGTGTAACTGATGTGATTCTGCAATCTGTGTATGGGGTGAAGGTGGGAGTTCATAACCCACTTGAATCAAAGTGTGGAATATGATATGTCAAGAAATTTGTAATGTTTTGAACAACCCACAGTAAAAAATTAAAAAAAAATTATAATCTAGAGATAGCAATAGATAAAGTACAATTAAATTTTCCAATTAATTATTTAGGAGTTCTATTATCCTCAACCATGGTCCGTCCACCAAAAATTCAAATACGGGTAGATCAACTCAAATCACTTAACGACTTTCAAAAGTTATTAGGAGACCTAAATTGGATAAGGCCTTATCTAGGCATACCAACAGGAGAGTTGGGACCTTTATTTGATATCCTAAAAGGTCCATCAGATCCAAATTCACCCCGCATGTTAACGCCTGAAGCAAGAAAGGCATTAAAAATTATTGAAACATATATGGAAAATATGCATTTGGATAGAATTGATATAACTTTGCCTTTATTATTTATTGTAATACCAACAAAAAATATTCCTACAGGAGTATTTTGGCAAGAATGTCCATTATTGTGGATACATTTATCTTATTCTCCTAACACTATTCTTACTAGGTATCCTGAGGCTGTAGGACAATTAATACTCAAAGGAATAAAAGCAGCAAAGGGAGTGTTTGGAATTTCTCCCAATACAATTATTACTCCATATACTATGGATCAAATTGATGAGTTAGCTAATGAGTTAAATACTTGGGCAATAATCATGTGTAAATCTAATGTTTCATTTGATAATCACTTACCATCTAATCCGTTGTTGTCTTTTTGGTCTTCGCATCCTGTAGTTTTTCCAAAAATGACAAGAAAAACCCCTATCATGAATGCTCCAAATGTATTCACTGATGGGTCAAATAATGGTACAGCAGCAGTAGTTACCCCTGATCAAACTTTTACATTTTTAGTACCCAAACAATCAGCTCAAAAGGTAGAGCTTAATGCAGTATTACAAGCTTTTATGATGTTTAAAGATTCTGTATTTAATTTATTCTCTGATAGTCAGTATGTAGTTAATGCTATAGTATCCCTTGAAGATGCTGGCAGGATTTCCCCTTCCTCTACTGTTTTCTCTTTGTTTTCTGCTATACAAAGTCTAATCTGGGACAGAAAAGATCCATTCTTTATAGGACATATCAGAGCACATACAGGATTGCCTGGAGCCCTTAGTTTGGGCAACGATTTAGCAGATAAAACTACACATGACATACATATTTTCTCTACACTAGAAGAAGCTACACATTTTCATAAAAGGTTCCATGTCAATGCTAATACTTTACAAAAGCGTTTTAAAATAACTAAGGAACAAGCTAGACAAATAATAAAACAATGTCAAAATTGTGTGACCTTTTTACCACAAGTTAATCTTGGAGTCAATCCTAGAGGACTGATACCTAACCATATTTGGCAGATGGACGTCACACACTTGCCACAATTTGGAAAATTAAAATATTTGCATGTTACAGTTGATACTTCTTCCGGATTTCTGATGGGCTCCCTCCATTCCGGAGAAAAAACTAAAGATGTTATAGCTCATTGCTTACAAAATTTTGCCACTGTGGGCGTTCCAAAACAGTTAAAAACAGATAATGGTCTTGGTTATACTTCTACCTCTTTTAAACAATTTTGCTCATCATTTTGCATTACTCATATAACAGGAATTCCATACAATCCACAGGGACAAGGCATAGTTGAAAGAGCTCATCAAACTATTAAAATGTACTTACTAAAGCAAAAAGAGGGAATTGGAAAGGGGTATATGTCACCCAAAGATAAACTTAAAATAACCCTTTTTACTCTAAACTTTTTAAATTTGGATTCCTCAGGGCTTAGTGCTGCGGAAAGGCATATGTGTCCAAAAAATGTACATAAGCCTAAGGTACTTTGGAAGGATATTCTAACAGGACAATGGAAAGGTCCTGACCCAGTGATTGTCTGGAGTCGGGGTTCTGTTTGTGTTTTTCCACAGGGAGAACAGCAGCAAATTTGGATTCCAGAGAGATTAACTAAAACAATTTCTACAGGTCAAAAGGAAGATGATTTGACTTAAATCCATAACAGCTGATATCCAGAACTCCAGTTTGGCTATTCTTACATCTGTGACAGTGATTAACCAGGATGCTTTTTTCAATATTTATTTTATTATTTGCCTTTTCCCACATCATAAAGTTCTATTTTATTTTTGAGCTCATACAGACCTAGGTTAATGTTTTTCTGATCAGTTTTATTTTTTGACTGTGGAGTTTTTAAGCATTGCAATGGAGATTTCACCTAGGTAAAGCTACAAGGCCTTTACTATTGTCTTAAGTGTTGTATGTTATGTGTGCACACTTCTGTTTTGTGTTGTATGTCTGTATGTGCGTATGTCCATATATCACATATGAGGAGCGCTCATGAATAAATGGATCCGAATTTTTTTATTCACGTGATTTTAATGGTTTAATTTAGATTGGGTAAACAGCTGTTGAAAATTGTTTTAATATGTGAACGAATAAGGAGGTTAACAGATCTGTTTGTTTACTTTCACCTTTCCTTCTCATTATATTTAATAATTCTGTTCAGGATAATGTAAATTGTTCAAAAAATTGTTTTCTTAGTGCCTGTTGGAATGTTACATAATTTTTTTCTTAGCATGATTGCCAGAATTCCTATCTTCATCCCAGTGCCGGTGAAGACAAAGATAAAACCAAACTACAGCTTCTTCGATAGTTATCACAACAAACTGTAAAAACTGATGCATCAATGAATAATAACTCCACAAGTAATGCTCAATTAAGGAGTCGATTTACTTTGGGAGGAAATGGACATATTGACAGATTCCTCTGCTTTGAATTGCTTGCAGACCTTGCCTGGACTATGTATCACTTGTATGCATTGTGAACTATCTGTTGTTACAGCGAATTGTGGTAGTGCTGGAGTATTTTTGCTGATGGTGTCACCAGTGGTACAATTTTTCAAAGGAGCCCTCAATTGGCTTAGTGTCATGGCATTTTGCATCCTCCTCCCTTCTGCTTGTGATGGTCTAAAATTGGGGGCCAACAGAGGTGAGGCAAAGAACCTCACCCCCCCACTGGTGCAAAGTCCTATCCACAAGTATGGCTGTATGCTGGACCGGTAGTCAGTGACGGGTATGATCCAATTGCAGTGGTACCAACCTAAGACAGGAGGCTGACGCCTAGAGGTCAGTTCATCCGATGACGGGTAAGGACCATATGTTGAATTGGACTGCCTAACAGGCACGGTCCCTAAGCCACATTGCTTGTTGTTTAATTGAACAAAAAGGGGGAGATGCTGAGAGCCATGGCCGAGTCTGTATGGCCCCTGGCATTTTGCCAACAGTATTGATTGACAGGCGAGGCATTACTATCCGCCTGTGCCGCAACTTTTGAGTTCTCGTACTATTTTGGAGTTCTCATGGGGATTTCCGGGGATTCCCCGAGAGTTCCCATTGGTTGGGGAAGTGCAGGAGGAGGGAATTCTGGGATAGATATTTTCCGCTGGGGGTTCCTGGACAAGCCTCGTGGCGTTCGGGAGGATTCCCCGGGAGCTGTGTGAAGTGTTTTCCTGCAGTTTAAAAATAAAGTTTGTTCCTGCTTCAGTGGCTCGTGATTTGTGCCCAGCCAGACTGCGGCACTGGGGGGTCTTTCAGATCCTCATCTCTGCCTCTGAGCTGGGGAAGCTGGGTCTTGTTGATTCCTGATTCTGCACAGGAGCCCAGCCCTGGACTCCCAGCTCAGCCCACTCAGTGATCAGGACTGAACACAGCTGCTCACCATGGAGAGTGTGCTCAGCTGGGTTTTCCTGGTGGCTGTTTTCAAAGGTAATGAATGGAGAACCAGAGATCCTGAGTGTGTGAGTGGACAGGAGTGAGAGGAAGAGTGGGTGAGTGACAGTGTCCTGACCAGGCTGCCTCTGTGTTTGCAGGTGTCCAGTGTGAGGTGCAGCTGGTGGAGTCTGGGGGAGGTCTGGTGCAGCCTGGGGGTTCCCTGCGACTCTCCTGTGCAGCCTCTGGATTCACCTTCAGTGACTACTATATGCACTGGGTCCACCAGGCTCCAGGGAAGGGGCTGGAGTGGGTCTCATACATTAGTTCTAGTAGTGGTACAATAAACTATGCCAACTCTGTGAAGGGCCGATTCACCATCTCCAGAGACAACTCCAAGAACACACTGTATCTGCAAATGAGCAGAGGACACAGCCACCTATTACTGTGCCAGGGACACAGTGAGGGGTCCTCAGTGTGAGCCCAGACACAACCTTCCTGCAGGGGACCCAGGGCCAGCAGGGGGCGCTCAGCACACAGGAGCTCAGGGTCAGCCAGGAGCAGGACAGAATAGGGTAAGGGCTGGGTCCTGCCTCTGGGGGCCTCTCTTCTATTTGTTTACACTTTTTCTTTACTTTAGTGAAAGGTATTTACATGAAATCTACTCTGGTGTGTTCATATCTGCTAATGGGGCATGTGGTCAATTTCCCTCCACCTTCCTCCTCCTTCACCCTCCATTCCCTTCCTCCCCTGCTCTACTATCCATTCTATTTTGATGTCCCTCTGTCCCCTTATTTTACTGTACCTTCCACTTCAGAGAGAAAGCCTCAGCCCTTGACTCTCTGACCCTGAGATATTTCACTCACATGATGTTCTCCAATTCCACCAATTTACCAGAAACAATCTCAGTTAATTCTTCTTTATGGTGAGTAACACCCCACTCTGTACATGTCCCACATTTTCTTATCCATCCATCTGGTGACAGGCATCTAGGCTGGGTCCATCCCTTGGGTGCTGTGAGTTTCTGCTATAAACACGTGTGTGGCTGTGTCACTACAGAATGCTTAGTTTACATCCTTAGGACTGTAACAAAACGTGGAATACCTGGTCATGTGGTGGTGTCCTAGTCAGCTTTTTTGCTGCTGTGACTGAAAGGTCTGACCAGAACCACTTAGAGGAGGAAAGGTTGATTTGAGGACTCACAGTGTCAGAGGTCTCAGTGCATGGACAGCAGGCTCCATTCCTCAGATCTCAAGGTGAGGATGAACATCATGGTGGAAGACTGTGGAGGAGGGGAGCTGCTCACATGATGATCAGGAAGCAGAGAGAGACCCTCACCAGATACAAACATATAACCCAAAGCCAACCCCCATGCCCCACCTCCTCCAGCCTCACCTGCCCACCTTCAGTCACCTCCCAGTTAATCCCTTACAGGGGATTAATTCACTGATGGGTTAAGTTCTCTGACCCAGTCATTTCCACTCTAACCCTTGTTGCAGTCATACATGGGCTTTTGGGGGGGACACCTCACATCCAAACCATAACACTCCACCCTTGGCCCCCAGAGGGTCATGACCACCGCACAATTCCAAATACATTTAGTCCATTCCCAAGATTCCCCATAGCCCCAATAGTTCAAGCCCAGCCCCAAAGTTCAGGTCCAAAGTCTCCTCTGAGACCCAAGGCAAACCAGCATTGTCAGTTGTAAAGATCAAAGCCATTTACACGAATCCACTATAAAGAAGTACAGAGTAAACATCTGCATTCAGAAAAATAGGGGCACAGAAGGAAGGGCCGGTGCCAACGCAAGACTGAAATCCAGCTGGGCAGAAGTCCTGGAGCCCCACGTCCAGGATCTGGGCACAAGGCATGGTGACATTCTCTCCAAAGTGCTGCTGAAAGCCCAGTCCTTGTCCCAGATGCCAATCCAATAAGAGGACACGGATTTGAGAAAAAGGAAAAAGAAGGGTTATTGCTTTTCAGAAAAAAAGGGCACTCTTGTCCCAAAGGTGTGATTCTGCCTGAAAGGACACCTGTGGAGTCCACACAAAGTCCAAGGACTGGGCCACACACCAGAAGGTCACACAAGAGATTTATGGTCAGTAACAGGAGGCATAGCAACAAGGCTGTCCCTCCAGGAGAGCAGCAGCCTGTGGCACTTAGAGAGCAGATTTATAGCCCTCAAGAGGGATCTCATGGGCTGCTTAAGAGTTTAGCTGGGGTCGGGGGGATCTCAGGGTACTTAGGAGTTTAACTTGGGGTGGGGTGATCTCAGGGTACTTAGGAGTTTAGCTGGGGTGGGGGGAATCTCAGGGTACTTAGGAGTTAAGCTGGGGTGGGGTTGATCTTAGGGTACTTTGGAGTTTAAGCTGGGGTCAGTGTGATCTTAGGGTACTTAGGAGTTTAAGCTGGGTGGGATGATCTTAGGGTACTTAGGAGTTTAAACTGGGTGGGGTTGATCTTAGGGTACTTTGGAGTTTAAGCTGGGGTCAGTGTGATCTTAGGGTACTTAGGAGTTTAAGCTGGGTGGGATGATCTTAGGGTACTTAGGAGTTTAAGCTGGGGGGGGGGGGAGCTCAGGGTACTTAGGAGTTAAGCTGGGGTGGGGATGATCTTAGGGTACTTAGGAGTTTAACCTGGGGTGGGGTGATCTCAGGGTACTTAGGAGTTTAAGTTGGGGTGGGGGGGTCTTAGGTTACTTAGTGAAGCCAGATTTAAAGATAGGTAGTTAGTTTTAGTTAGATAAATCCAGTCTAATATCAAGTAAAATCAAGGTTGAAGGCCATATTGAGAATGGAGTCCAGGAAAAGGGGGATTGAAAAAGTCCCCAAGGCTGGGAGCCCATCCTGAGGAAATGTTAATGAAGCAGCTCTCAGCAAACATGGAGATGCTAATCCAAAAGCCCTTCCTGCCCAGGTTACTCCTAAGCCCATCTGCCCCTCACGTTTTTGCCTTCCCACCTGCATTTTATCACTGCAAGGTAAAACAGAATCAAGGACAGGAATGGGACAGGAATGCGGGAAAGCTGAAAGAGAACCTTAGCCATAAAGGAGGGAAGATCTTTCCCTTCCATGGTTCCACCTCTTGGTCCCCTTCTTCATCTGGGAGAAGTCTTTTCTGCTGTCCTTTAATAAGGCTTCAACTTTCCACTCTAAACTTGCCTCGGTGTCCTTCTCTGGTGTTATCCTTCAGCCTTGGGGAAGCAAGGACTCGTCACAGTCAACAGCGGTAACATTAGGAGTTTAAGCTGGGGTGGGGTGATCATTCAGCAGGCACATGTTCTTAGGGAAAGTTAGCAGCACTGCATCAGAATCCAAACTTTGGAACTTTTGATAAAATGACTCCTGACCTGAAATGGTGACTGAGGCCAATATTGATCTGATGCCAATATTGCCCATCAGCAGGAGCAGGGGGCTGTTAAAGAGGTGCCTCCAAGGCCACATTCCACCTGTTCTCTGTTGCAGTTGTGATTCACCTATTCACTTGGGAGAGAGTCCTTTCTGAGATCTTCTGGTGCCATCCCCAAAGTCTGGATTTCTTCCTTCCTGTGGTGGGTGTGTGCTCAAGGACAGATAGCTCTGCCTAGGAGGGGGAAGAGAGGTAATCCTGTTTCCCCTGAGATTAGGGAGGAGAGGGAGAGAGGAAGAGAAGGAAATGTGTCCATTTTAACATGAGTGCAGTGTCAGAGCAGAAAGGGTTATACTCAAAGCGTAAGGTGACCACTGTCACACTTGTGCTAATTTGCAGTTCTAACAACAATTAATGAGTGTAATCCCCAAAATACTCACCAGAATTTATTACCACTTGTGTTTTTGGAAATTGCCCTTCTGCCTACAGTGAGAGGAAATCTTGTTCAAAAGGCAATACATTCCAATCCCACGGCCATGATCATACTGAATGGAAAAGCCAAAACATTTCCCCAGGTTTAGGAACAAGACATAGATGGCCCCTCTCACCACTCCTGCTGAACATAGACCCAGGGATGTGCATTTTAACTCAGGTGCATTTACACAGGAACACAGAGCAGCATTATTGAGGCTGAAGTGATGGCTCTGGGGTCCCTAGGGTGAGACCCTGAGGAAGCTCAGAAGAGTCTTTTCCATCAACTAAGGGGAGGGTCTTCAGTGGGATTCCCTGAAGGGCTGTCCTTGGGACTCTCTGTACATCAAACAGTGAGCTAGCCCAGGATTGTGTTATGCTAGAATTCGGGACCCCCAAAAGACCACCAGAAACCCAGATCCATGTAAGTAGCAAAGAGGTGTTTATTGCGAGCTAGCTCGGTCCTCCTCATGCACACAGCAACTGGTGACACTGAGAGGCTCCGCACCCCGGGTTTGCAGCAGTTTTATACACTCTTTGGGGAAGGCAGGGACCCCACATACATCATACTATCTCTTAGCAAATCATCACACACCGAGGGAAAACCAAATAACAACTCTAAAACATGATTAGCACATTCACTGGTGGGAACAAGTTGGGTAGGGGTGATTGGTTACTACAAGAGGGGGACTCCTTTGAACTGAGGGGAGTTCGTGCTGAACTACATGGTTTCCCAATATGTTATCAACCACCATAAACTACTGGGAGGGTCATCTGGCATCCCAGGTATTTCCCTGTCTCATGCTGATTGGTGGCTGTTAGGGGGTTGCTATGGGTCCCCACCTAGCCTGACAGAGTCAGGGACACCTGGCACAGCAGATCTCTCCTGTGATTTGTAGATAAACAACTCAGCAGGGTGGGTAAGTGCCTAGGAGTGCTCTGTGGGGTTTTCCCAAGGACAAGGGTCACGCCCCCTTCCTTGGACAGACTTTGCTCTGAGGTAGAGGCTGGCTTTTCAGACATGAGGGACACCCAGGGCCTGGTCTTCCCAGGAGAGCAAGTGTGAGGACCTCTGTGCCTGCAGCTCTGAGTGGGTGACACAGAAGTCCCTCCATCCTGCAGAAGCTGAGCTCTGGCCCAGGAAGCAGCTTCCACTGTGCCCAGCCCACTCTCTGCTGTGGAAGCCCTCACCAGGGCAATCAGGACACAGTCTAGGGGACTCCAGACCCCAGGGGCCACTAGTGTCAGTCAAGTCCTCTCCCTGTAGCCATAGTCTCCCTCCTAATCAATCCTCCTGAACCAATTTGACATTACTATTTCTACAACTGCCCAGGAAGTGAACAGGACCTACCTGCTTCCACACTCAAGTGGAGGGCCAGACTAGGACACATGGCCCCATCCACATCAATACATCAGGAATTTACCAACTCCCCCAAGCCACAGCCAGCAGGGACTCCCATCACTTGTCCATGCTGGGGAGGGTCTGCCTCCTACCGCAGTGATCATGGCCACTTGAACTTGGCCAGGCCCTGCAGTGGGTGGGTTGGATCATTGGTGGTAGCACCACATACTATAGCCCAATCCTTGAATCAAGGGTCAGGGTCACCACAGACACACCCAAAGTGATCTTTCATCAGCGTCACTGTCTAAAAGCGGAGGGCATGTTCAGTCTCACTGGGAGACACCTGGGGATGTGTGTGGTCAAGACACAATGTCCCAGCAGGGAGGTCACTTCCCACAGGGAGATCAGGTCCTGCAGGTGCTCAAGGCCTGCCGAGGGAGCTCAGGACCAGCAGGGGGAGCTCAGGATCCATGGGGGCACTGAGACCATCAGGAGGCTCAGGACCTGCAGGGTGCCCCAGATCAGCAGAGGGAGCTCAAGTCCAGCAGGGGAAGGTCAACACCAGCAGAGAGGGCTCAGGACCTGCAGGTGGCTTAGGGACAGTAGGGGCATCAAGACCAGCAGAAAGCTCTGGACCAGCAGGGGGAGCCGAGGACCAGCAGGTGGAGATTAGGACCCCCAGATGCTCAGGAGAAGCAGGAGGCTCAGGAACATTAGGGGCGTCAGGACCAGAAGAGAGCTCAGGGACAGCAGGGGTCTCAGCACCAGCAGGGGGAGCCCAGGACAAGGACATGAAGCCCAGAACAAGGGCAGGGAGCTCAGGACCTGCAGGGGAAACTGAGTGCAGGGCCAGAACCAGGGGCAGGTGCACAGGCAGTCCGTGCTGGTGCTCAGGGTTCACAGTCTCCTCTCTAGAGAGGAGTCCCCAGGGAGCAACTCTAGCCGTGTGACAGTGCTCCAGAATAGCACAGTTCCGAGGAAACAGGAGCTCATTCTCACAGGAACAGAGGCAGAGCTTTAAACATGGGGGCAGAAGTGCCTCTGCCCTAGTCTCTGCGTCAGATCTGAGAAGTTCAGGGGAACCTGGTTGGTCTTCTCCCACCAGACAAGCAGCAGACTCCTGGATTCTCATCAGGACGGTCTCTGGGG